AATTAATTACAACATGCAACAACAAATTAATAATGCATTTGTTGTATATTATGATGTTTAAATAACGATAATGTGTGTAGAGAAGAATAGGTGAGCTAAGCGCAAGATGATAAGCGCGCTGCTGCATAGACGTACAATGGTGTGCAGAAAAATTGCAGCAAGAAAATTTTTGAAAAAAAGTAAAAGTAAATGAATATAAAATTACAAAAATAAAATTAAAAATACACAAAAATTTATTTCAACAAAAATTGTCAACAAAATTTAATGCTTCTTATTCAAAATTTATAACGGGAAAAATATTGAAAAATTCTTGACATTAATTGCAATTGGTATTGAAATTTTAATTCTACTAATAAAAATGAGAAATTAAAAAATTTTAATTCATTTTGATATATTCGAAAAATTTTACAATAAATTTGCTTGAAAATATTGTTGCTGAAGTGTTTTTAGAGAGTACATTTTATGACAAACACAAGAATTTATGTAGCACAAAGTATTCAGTGAAGGCCGAGGCTTATAACAAGTGTATGGAAAATTCGAATAGACGTTGGCATGATTGTATTGCCTCTAAGAGAACCTGTTTTGAAGGTGATAATAAAGATGTGTATACAAGAAGGAGGAAGTTGATATTTTTTCTATCAGTCCGGGTCAAATTTGATCAGATGGTATGAAGACTAAATAAACTAGAAAGAATTTAATAACAGATCACAAAGCTCTATGAATCAAAAAATTATGCACAAATGACACAGAACTAGCTAGGTTCGGTTTTGTTTAATCTGTAGGTTGTGAGTAACCCTTCCAATGTGCTACTAACTTTTTGCACACAACTGCAAGAAAAAAATATTCATACATATTCACATGCAAGCATGTACCACCATCATCATCGCACATACATACATTCAAAAGCTACAGCATCAAAGCGCGCAATGCGGAACCAAAAGGCTTAATAAAGCCACAGTCGACATCAACGCCACCACCGCTGCCATAGCCACAACAAAAAGAACAAAAACAATAGTCTGCAACAAATTCCGATCGATACGTCACACAACATTAATTGATGGCCGGCTCTTACCAATAACAACAGTAAACCAAAAAAACAAAAATGGTAGAAAAAGCATAGCCTGTCTAAATTAGCCTATCTCGAACCTTTCAAGATGAGTGATCATGACGGCAAAATTCAGAATTATTTTGGGTGTGCCCTCGCAACTGATAGGAAGTGTATGCATGCTGTGGTATGTGGTAGGTGCCATACAGTGAGTGAAGATAAAAAAAAAAAGTACTCGAAACATGGCTTAAATGCAATCAGTCGGCGGAGAGTGATGACTTCCTGCTTTCTGAAAGCGTTTGCTTATCTAGGCCTTGAACCTTCTTTTAGCTTGAGGTGAAGTAGATGAGGTGCTGGTTAGGTTGAAGAGGTTGAGAATGTGCAACATCACGCAAAGCCACCGAATTAAGATCGCGTCATATGTTGTTGTTGTTATTATTATTGTTGTTGTTGGCAAGGCTTTAGAATGCATTGCATTTAATTTCAACTATAATTCTAACCAAATTGTGTGCGTTTGATTGTTATTTTTTTTTTTGTCTTAAATTCTTATTAGCATTTCGAACTCGATTTTGTTATCTACAAGAGAAGACACCATCTTCAACATTTTCTTGTTAAATTTTCCTTATGTAACAACTTTACTACGCCTGCAACAATTTTACAATTTTCTACCTGCTTTTCCCCCTTGCAGACACAGGTTCTGTACATTTTTTGGATTCTACATGTTTTCTTGATTAATTATTTGGCTTTTATCGCTACGCGTTAGGCATCTATCCAAGCTAACCGGCTTGTAGAACAAGTGTTGGGCATCTTTGTTACCAGAAAAAGGTAGGAGTATAAAAAAAAAATATTTGTTTGTAAATATGTAAGTAGAATTCACCCCCTTTTTTAGGCTAAGAAAAAGTAGGGTCATCAAAATCGTAATTAAAAATAAGAATACAAAAGTATGAAAGAAAATAAGACACATAAAAAGGCCACAAAATTTTACATTTATTGGGAAAATATTTTCATACAACCGAGGTCAACGGAGTTCATTTGTTTATATTTGCTTGTTGCATTTTTGCTCTTGACACATAGTTTTACTTATGATTTAGGCTTTCCATATATGTACATACATAGGATCCAGAGCAACTTTTATCAGCACTTGCGTATTTACAACACCAATATTTAAGCAATTTTAGTAACTTGATTTTATCACTAAGTAAATAAAAGTTGGATCTTCCGTTTTCTTAAGAGACTTATATCGTTGATGGAAAACTTCGCATTTCTAGTTAAGAAAACTGGTAAACCTCTTAGGAGGAAAAAACAGTACTTTGTAATTTTATCTCATAAAGATAAAGCATTAGTATTTGAAGATTATTCTGATAACGGAAAGTGAAGCCAAGTGTGTGGATTTTTTCCAAAATAAGTTACAAAATATTTACTTATTACCACAACGCGTCAAGGCAGATATATATGTATGTATAGTTATTATACATTGAACAAAAAAATTTTTATTTGACAAGATAACTTCACGAAACTTGGCGTAGATTATTGTCGAAGACAGCGCTGCAGACTACCAATAAACTTTTTCAGATAGGACTACTATAGACTATAACTGTCATACAAACTGACGAATCAATTTATTTGTGTAGTTTATTATGAACTCCATGCAAATAAAGTGAAATATTTTTTCTGAGAATATCCAACACTCGAACGAGTAACAGTTTTCATCATACGATGGCAATATGATGAGCATCAAATTGTTATTATTCAAAAAGTATATAAAGTTTCCTCTCCTGATGATATTCTTACAATCGAAGCATTTAAAAAACTGTCTAAGCTTAACCTATTACGCTAAGCCATCAATTTGCTGATCAAATTCGTAATTTCGATAATTATTTTAATCCTATACTATCGATTAATATAACAGCATCATCTACATACATTTCCTACGAGTAATCTTGTCGACATTTATATTTACACTGCATTCTTTTTCGATTACTCACCTTTCCTGCTGCTTTTTTGTAACGCCTAGTTGCTTCGTTGATAAGATCCTTCACCAGCAAATCGCCATTGCCACATGGCACAACAATGCGTATGGCACCAAAACAAACGGTGACCTTCATGATTGACAAATTTCTACGTTTTTTTTTAACAAATCACTTTTTGTAAACTTTACAAACACTTAATTTTATTTTAGCAAATAATTTTCACTTTCTAGTACACAACACGTAAGTTAAATTTCAATCAATTAGTTAAATAGCTAATGAGTTACACATTCGTTTTAGATTCGGCAGTAATTCATTTATTTATATTTTTCGTTCACGTTTGTTTAGTTTAAATTGGAAGCTATGTGATAAAATATTATAAATAATGATATTGAAAAGCTATTAAATTTCTGCACTTAACATTATGGAAATTGGAATTTCAATGCCATATAAGAGGCGCGCGCCAGGCGATAGCCTGACTCAAAAAAAGTTATTATTGTAAGCAAAAACAATGCAATTATACAGCATTTATTGTGTAGTGGATGATGTGTGCTGCTATTCTCGAGAGGGTCATGACAAGCTATGGAGTCACCCTCCGATTGTCGTCTATAAAATGCACCAGCAGAGACGCCTTTAGTGATCCTTGAATAACAGACCTACATACATATGTATGTACATAGGTAGAGGTGTTTGCCGATGATTTTTGTTTTTGGTGGATGTAGTTTTTGTGGTTGCTTCCACATAAATAGTGTGCAGCTGCGCTTTGCCGACACAAAAATACGTTACACAAACACCAACTTAGTGTTATTATAGCACAATTGGGAAGTGCATGTAACATAGGATCTTTAGCACTTGACAGCTGCACTTCCTGGTTGTATTTAGAAATTATTCTAAGGAGTACTGGGCCACCAAGCCAATTAAAATTAACAAATTTAATTATTTTGGAACTTAAAATTTATACTTCTGTTTATATACGACATTACATTATATAAATTTCTGAAAAAGCGGCAAGCTAGCAATACATTAAACACATATAAAGCTCCTATCACTGTCGATATAAACTTTTAAAGAAAACATGAATCACTAGAATATATCGCAGAAACATTGCAAAACGAAGCACACATCATACACAACAAATTGCTGGAATAAAAAGCGTTCTGAATGCGCGAGTTAAAAACTGGATTTTCCAGCACAGATTTAGGATCGCAAAAATGTGTCCATAAGCGAAGAAAAAGCATAATAAATGTATATACAAATGAAAAATTTATGTTGTACAACAAAGTAAAATAACAAATTTATTTACACAGTTTACTTTGTTATACACTTGTCAATTTTTTTCTTTTGCTTCACCGCTTTTGTATTATTAACGTTTACATTTAGTTTCGTCGCCGTTGGTTTGACGTTGTCGGCACTTATGGCATTTTTTTATCAATTCTTAGTTATTGCTTACTTTCTTTCTTCATTTTGCACAATCTCAGTAACACGTTTGTTGGCTTATTTTTCGCTTATATTTTATTACATACTTTGTTTCGTTGCCACAATTATTCACATAGTATAATTTTGTACTTCGTTGCACTAGCAAGTTGCTAATATCGCGTTTTTGTTTCTAATAGCACTAACAAGTGCATTTAATTTGTTAGTTTTCGTGAAATCCGATCAGTAGACACACTTGGAAAATTTGAAATTTTTTCAAAAATCGCGTTCTCCGCACACGCGCGCTTTACTCCCGTTCGCACTCATGTCAACAACTCGTTTGTCACTTGGCTTCCATGGAATTCTACCGTCTACCTTGTTTCGTCATTTTTCACTGCTTCGTTGCTACTCGTTTATTTGTTGTTTTTGAAGCCACAATTTTAACGTCTATTTCAGTGGACTGTTCAGTTTTGTTGTTGTCTTCTCGTTTGCTTTTGTTTACCTACCTGTTCTCTGCTGGCGTTCTCTGGCGACAGCAGCAGCAAAACTAGTTTTTTTTGACAGATAACAAACTCGTTGGTTTTCTGTGACAGGCGGTTGATTCGCTAGCGTGTTGCCGGCAATAAACGGTGTCAAGTTAACAATTTATTTATTAATTAAATTATAATAAGCGCACTTTCTAAATGTGTAACAATATTTCAATATAGTACGAAATTAAATAATTATATTAACAATAATAAAAGTGATTAAAACTATGTTCATTTACAAATTAAATTTTTTGTACAACTTTTATGGATGGCAGCACTATCATTTTACGTCTTGCAGCATTGCAAATTCGTGGTATCATTTGGTTATAAAAATATCTTTTTTCTATTGGAATAAAATTAAGAAAACTTTTTTCCTTTATATTAAATATGGCAAATTCAATAGTAAAATCAGAATTTAAACCTATATATCTCAAATTATAACGCATAATTAAAAAAAAGTTGAGAGATGTTATCTTTAAAGGAATTTACACCTTTTTAATACTTACATTGGCAACCCCAATTGTTAGCTGTCAAGTTTGTTTTGATTCGACGGCATGCTTCATTCTATATCATGATTTCCAGTACATTACAAAAAACATCATACCATGATTAGAAATATAGTGTATTTGAATTAAATATTTAAATGATTGTTAAAATTAAGCAAAAGAAACGACAAAGTGGTTTACCGCCACCAGCAGCCGCAGAGGAATTGGAGGAAAAGTCGCAGGATGAGAATATGCAGGACACAAGTAGCGAACAATCTGCGCAGTCTGAACTAGAACAGGAAAACCCAAAATCCGCAAACAGCAATATTGAGAAAAATGTTGATGGAGTTGGTGATGGCAATGATAATGATGATGAAATGGATTTGGGCAATTTCAATTTGAAACCAAAAAAGAAACGCAAGAAGGGCATCATTTACATATCGAACATACCCAAACACATGAATGTTACGAGAATGCGCGAAATCCTAGGAGAGTATGCTCAACTTGGACGCGTGTACTTGCAACCAGAGAAATTACCCGGTGGTAAGTTCAATTTACTATACCTTAAGAAAACTTCTAAAACGCAGAAATTACTTACAGGCAATGATAAAAAGAAAAAGCGAAAACGCTTGGCGCGTCACTTCACAGAAGGTTGGGTTGAGTTCGAGTCAAAGCGCGCGGCGAAACAAATTGTTGAACACTTAAATAATAAACAAATTTCCACACGTAAAAAATCACAATTCTACGATTATATGTGGAGTATGAAATATTTGCCGCGCTTCAAATGGGTGCATCTCACGGAGCGTATGAACTATGAACAAGCTGTACATAAGCAACGCTTACACACAGAGGTGTCACAGGCGCGTAAGGAGACTACATTCTTCCAGAATAATCTTGATAAGAGCGAGTACTTGAAAAAACAAAGTAAAAAAGCAAATAAAGGCAAAATTGCGGCCGTGACGAAAACGTGAGTTACGAAAGGTCGCAATTTTGTGAAAATAGAACAGCTTAGTGTATTATTGGGTTTTTTTTTTAAAAGATGGTAATTTACAAAAGAAATGTATAATAAATTAAAAACAATGCATCAAAGATATATAGTGTTATTATCCCATTTGCCACTTTTGTGTTACAAACTTTTTATAGTATAAGCTCTCGTTAACAATTATTTCGATAAATAAAGTGTAATTTAGTCCTTCAGTTTTCGAGATATTATTCTGCAATTTTCACACGTTTTTTTCTGCTCAAGAATATACTAATTTACCGGAACTGTTGATCTCGGACCACTAAAGCATATAGCTACCCTACAAGCTGAACGATCAAAATCAAGTTTTCTTATGGAAGACTTTTTTATTTGACAAGATATCCTCACAAAATTTGTCATGGCACATTGTCCAAGTCAAGGCTACAATCTCCGAACAAACGCTTAAGACGCGCAACTTCGTTCTGGATATTGTAGCAGGTTAAACTCGTACTTATCCAGAATAGAAACCGACATTCCAAATATATGTCCTGCGTGCAATGCATTACATGACCAACGAACCCAACTCATCTAACACCCATTTCCCTATGGTCCGACCCTGTCGAAACAGCTCGTTTCCTGGGCCTTCCGTTAGATGACACTCGACGACTAACAAACTATAACTTATCACCCAAGCGAGGACTAGGTAACTAGGTTTTTTATTTGTGAAGGGTATTATAGCTTCTGTTCAGCCGAAGTTAACGGGTTTTTCTCTTGTTTTTCAATAAAACCAATCTCTTTTTACTTAAAATTACTAAAAAATACTATATTATTTTAGAGGTTATAGTTGAATATTGTTTTCTTTTTATTTAGCACGTTTCTATAAAATACATTTTTATCTTATGGATAGCTAGCTAGACTAGTAATACATATTTTCTTACAATTAAAAATATATTTAAAACTTAAAAGAAATAATATTTAATTTTTATGTAAAATAATTTAAGTTTTTTAATCAAATTCTTTAAAACAGAGTAACACAGTGTTTATCTTAGCACAGCTTCATATTATATAAAAACCATAGAAATACAAATATTTAAATAACGCTAACAGACTATTTGGCACTACTAAGGCATAAAAATCGCAATGATATCCTTCCGTTATGAAAAAAATTATATATATAAGTGATGTCGATATTCATTAGTTACGATAAAACAGTTTTCAATTTTTATAAGTACACCTATAAACTAAGTATTTACAATATAGTTTATTTACAATAGATTGCTTTTATCGATAATTATTTTTCTTATGGACAAATACTTAAAAATGTACTAACACTAAATAACACGTAATTACAAGTATGCTTAACATAACGGTAATATATACTACATAAACACATATATACATACATGAATATGGACTTAATTAGTATTTATCTGCCACAACATATTTAATCATAAAATTCTTTGATTATCTCGACAATGCTCTGATAAGTGCCGGTGGCAATGCCTAACAAGGCAATCAGCACAATCGCCATGTTCTTCAGGTACACCCAAGTGGTCAAGGCTTTGGGCACTCCAGCGCGCAATACAAAATCGAGTATCACTGGTATCAACAGCGCCAATGAAGTGGAGCACAGTGCACCGATTAGCGAAATGAAGAGACCGAGTTTCGGCACAATGACAGCAACACCGACTGCAAAGAAGAGTGAAGATGATTATTTAATAAACAAAATGTTATTAATTTCTTTTTGATAAGTTTAACGATTTTTATTACGATTAATAGGTTATGGGTTAATAATATTTTTTCTAATTAAATAAACTAAAAATAGAAATGAGGATATCTGTTAAAAAAAATAGGTTTTCGCTACAAGGACCTGGTTTTGATCGATCAGTCAGCTATATGCTATAGTGATCCGATCCTTTAAAATTGCTTCAGGGATTGCAGCATTCCCTTAGACACATATCTATGTCAAATTACGTGAAGATACATTGTCAAATAAAAAAGCTCATCAAAGTTGGTTAAATCAACTCAGCTCGTCGGGCTGATCATTTATATATGTAGATATTTAATAGGGTCTCCGACGTTTCCTTCCAGTTAATACAAACTTCATGGCATACTTAATACTTGTGTACAATATATACGCTGTTCAGAGTATAATAAAAAAATGAGGTTAGGTTCGAACACTTTCGGGAAATATAATTAAATATTTTGTATAGCATTGGAAAGCTATTAGTTCATCATCAATATATAATTTTCTTTCAGATGATATTTTATATTATCATGGTAGTAGGGCTTAGTTCATTTCCAAGACCTATCGAATACTTTCTATAAAGTGAACAATGCTATACTACTACTTTTCCAGGGCTGAAAAGCTGGGGTATTGGAGACTTAAACACTTGTGATTATATTTTGATCCATTTTTGCCTTGTGAAACGTGAGTAATCCTAAGTTAGGTGCCTTCTGGAATACTATCCAGAAAACTAAATTCTATCCTTCCAAATTTAATCTTATACCGGACTTACCAAATACACAAATGTTTAACATGCATCAAGATGTCTTTACAAATCAGCCTCTTGGTATATGATCTCATATCTAATATTCTAACACCTTTTTTCTATGATCCAACCTCGTCGAAAACCCCTAAAATGGAATTCCGGTGAGATGCCAGGGCTGACATAATATAATGCTTTACTTCGAAACAGGCTGTTATCTAGTCAACGATGACAACAACAGGAGAGTAAAATCTTGAAACGCTGGATATTGATCCTTAATTACGTGCTGGATGTTATAGAAAGTTAAAGTCCTTTATACTCAGACCCTACTCCGTCATACCCAACATATACATAGGCCTCATTCATATATAATACTAACGACTTCTTCAAATGCTCCTTAAACCAGTCAATTTAACATCCCTCCCGGTTTTCTGAACTCGTCGAAACAGCTCGTTTCGTGGTTCTTCGTAAGATGACTTTCCTGATACCAAACAGAGCTTAAATAACCACAGATGTTTTCGAAAACTCGTATCAAAATGTAAGATACAACTTCAAACCTAAAATGTTTCAGTGTAATTTTGATTGAAAAGTTAAAGCTGGAGCTGAAAAATATGGTATATAAATATCAAAAAGGCAAGAGAAATTCGTAGATTATTGTTGTGCCAAATACTTTAGGTTTTTGGTTATAGCCCGAAAGCCTCAAGCCTATACCCTAAATACCATATATAGTATAAGATAGGCTATCCATACATTGTGGGGCATTTTAAAGTTATATTTAACATAATTTGTTGAACTTGTTTGCTTGTATTTAAAACGCTATAGGGGACCACTAGCTTCCCTATAGTGACCTTCTAAGACCACACTTCCACTCTCAATATACATACTTACATATTTACACTTTCGTCTAGATAAATATTCTTAAGCGCTAATTATGTTTACGACTAGATATCAAAATCGACTCTATCAGCGTCATTCATCACTAGCCATTCCATGATTTGTGAGAAATTTTTTCTATCATAAAAAAATATGTTTTATATGGTCCAATAAAAAACTGCTCGAGTGATTTATCATTTTTGGGATCCTGTATAGAAATATGTACATATCTACATACTCATATACATAAAAACCTATGTTATATACTTACATCAGTGCGAGTACCTAGCAATTTATAACCGCAATTGTCACACTTTATTATTGAATTAAACACTATGACAATAAAAGATAAACTTAAATAACAAATACGCAAAAATTCTGTGAACTTTCTTTGTTTTAAAGTTTTGCGGTAGTTTTCCATTATATTAAGACGCACTAGTATACAGGGTCAGGAACTTTATTTCTACATTGTAGATAACACATACATACTTGTATGTAGACAAGTATATAAATATGTACATTGACAGGTGATGACTGACAGCTGTCATAAAGTATGATTAATGAAGTTTAATCAATCAAAGTTTATCATAAAGGCGTTAAAAGTAAAGCGAATAACAAGAAAAATTGATGTTATCTGCACAAATCAGAGTTCTAACGGTTTGGTGGTAAAACTTAAACTAATTTTTTATCTTAAGCGATTCAAAAAGTCAATTTAGGAATGTACCGGTTTACGACTAGCCTCCGAAAAACCCTTTCTTGGGAATAGTTGGGTCAAATTAACCGATATAAGTTTCCATGAATGTTAGAGCCTCTATATTTTTAAAAACCCATATACCACATTATTGTTCCTTCAAATTCTCAATACTTACATGTACACCAAACCAAGATGAAACGCAGCACAACTTGTATCGTGATGGGATAGCTTTGGGCCATACCGCACGATTCCTTCATCGGTTTCCAAATGATCTTGATCAGAATAAAGAATTGTATGGGGTACCCGAAGAAAACACCCATCGCAGCTACGATTTTGACAACCTGTGACAAGCTGCAAAGACAAAAAGTGAGAGAAAACACAAATTATTTAGAGTCTACTCCACTCCAACTCACTCTCTCTCTATCTCTACTTACACATCTTCCGAGTTCAAATTCAACGTAACGCTGCCCTCAACATCCTCACCCCAACGCATATAACCAATGAAACCAGTAAATATGAAAATTGACGTTACCACCACCATGGTCATATTTAAAACACCAAAAGTACTCGTAAAGTTTTCAGGATTACGCATTTTATTACGTAACGGTAGTATGAGCGCAATGCCTTCGTATGAGAAGAGTGCTGTGCCGAAAAACAATGCCATCTGCGTACCGTTGGTTATGTAGTGACGCTCGCTTATGGCCGGCATGGGACCTTGCAACGCGATCACCAGCGTGGCGAATAGACCGAAGAGTAGCGAACAGTTGGCCAACATCGAAATGGGTGAGATGTACTTCAAATTGGTAAGTAACGAGGGCAACATGGCCGGCAGCAATGCGAGGGCCATTGTAGTTGTTTGACTAATGTCAATGCCGTTTTGTTGCAGAACCTATAAGGGTGTGAGTAGAGAAGAATTTGTTTGAAATAAAAAATATATATTTTGTTTTTAAAGGATCAATTTATTAAGTTAACTCAATAAATAATCGAAATTTGTAAGGCCATTTTAAAAATTATTTTAAAAAAATATAGGCTGAGTGTACATAGAATGGTCTTTGAGGTACAGAGTGTTAACTCTCGAATGCAATAACAAGACTTATTCACCTTAGATGTTCGAAAAGCTTCAGAGCTTTATATCGTGAAAAATCAGTCTCAAACTTCCACCGAAATATATAAGCTTTTCAAAAGAAATTCGCAGAAACGTATGACATTAATAGAACCACGACACTATCATGAGGACGTGGTAATCGGAAAGTACCCACATGTATATGCGAACTGTTGTCGAAAAATTTTCTAAAGACTATTAAGAGAGTATTTTAATAGTTCTAAAGTACGAGAACAAACGACTGTATCTCCTGGCGTCTTAAGGTCCACCAATAGTTTTTATATATTATATATAATAGGCAGTCAAAATAGATTAAAAGAAAACAGAAACTTAAAAGTTCAGACCTGGTCTCTGCTAAATCATTTCAAAACGGATAATTTGGAACTTAATCCCTTCAGCCGTACTTAAAAATATCCACTCACCTGATAAAGATTCTCCGTAATGAAAACGAAATATATCGAACAGAAGCCGAATTGTGTTACACACAAAAAAGTCTCCACAATGGTGCGCATTAATTTTGACAATTTCCGCACAGGCGGTGGCCCATATTCGAAGACTTTTTCCACCGTATCCGGATAGTCGAAGAAGTCCACACCGGGTGTCTTCTCCACCATCACAATCGAACCGTCGATCAGCAGACGCTCACAATGCACGCAAATAACCGCTAGGATGGGCATTAGCACAGTAGCGCCGACCAGACCACCATTCTTGAAACAATCACCCATGGCGAAGAGACCAGCGCCAACGCTACCTTTGAAGAGATGTGTTGCTGTCTCCAAGTTGCTGCAATAAAATATTATATGAAGTGGTTAGCGGTCTCAAATTAAATTCTGCGTGATATATACAAATATCTCGGAAATACAATATAGTTCATATGTACCTTGTGCGGTGAGTCTTCTTGCCATCACTACCCTCAAGATCTGCTTCGTTCGCTTTGGCGCTCTTGCCATTTCGCACCTCCAGTGTTACACCCATGTTCCGTTACTGTTATGCAATACTGTATGTCGAGTTATTCTACTTATTTCTTGTATTCTTATTAGATTCCACTTAGAATGTGAATTATTTTTTATTTATTTCTATAACAATCTCTTTTTTTTACGCTGAGTCGACCTTTTACAATTTTTTTCTTGTTTTAATTGCGCTGTTGGAATTGTGGAATTCTTGTGGTCACGTGTTTATCTTGTTGTTGCAGCTTTTTGTAAACTTGTCTGGAATTTCACTAGTTTACTTTGACAGCGCTCGAAGTGTGAGTAACGGTTAAATAGAGCTAAGTCCACTGCAATAATAAGAAGAATATTGTTTGAGTTTAGTCGCATTCTTGCTTGAGTAATTTTCTTAGAAATGAGTGTTATTACTGTAATGATTACATTGGTAAGTAATTGCACCTGGTGAGTGTTCTCTTAACACGTTCATAAACCATATATAATACCAAAATTTAATTAATTATAATTTTGAAAATCAAAGGAAGTTAAAACATTATGCTAAAAATCTTCTCTAATCCATTAAGTTTAAATAAATAAACAAAGAAAAATAAATTCAACACAATATACTCCAATCTCAAAAGCATTGACAACAAATGCTTGCGATTATTTTATATAGAATATTATACTAGCCGTCCGATTTGCTTTGCATCCATAAAATTAGTTCTCAATTACTCAAATTTGGTCTGAATTCTATTTTGTCTTTTAACTGTCCACCTTGTAACGTTGCTTTGATCAGTTGTTCATCAGCTTAGCTTATTATACTTATATACCGATCTTAAAAGTTGTAAAAGTCTATTCCCCGCCAATAAGCGCAATTAGACTGTAATTTTACTCAATGTCGCCGACTGTTGAAATTTTTTACAACCTATTTCCCTGTCCAGCGACTGTCGTGTTTAGCTGGAAGGAAATACAATAGGGCCACCTTATGGCAGACACTGTCTAAGTTCCGAACATATTTAAATATTATAAATATTTCTTGTACTGTTGGACTTTATCAGTAGCAGAAGACTGTAATTTTAGCTGACGTCTATGTTGGTTGGTTGATTGAAAAGGGAGGAGGTGACGGAGCGCAGACCGCACACGGCCGTACTTAGGCCATCATTAGGTCTATTGTGCTCAGGAGTGGTAATTAATTAAGCCTTATCCAGCAATTCAGTGGATTTGGTAAAATATCTGATTTTTCCACCCAACCCCCAATGTCTCTTAAGTTGAAGCATTGGAACCCTGAAAGATATCCTGTCTCAATCGTCTAAAGCTGAACATTCGCAAAGGTAAGCTCATATACTGGTAAACTGAAGTAAAGACAGAAAATGGATCAATTACTTTGATTTTACATTGATTAAATTACGTCAATAAACCATGTTTGAAAATCGTCAAGCGTACTCGTTACACGAAGGTATATTTATCCTACTGACATTTAGTAAATTATTCCACAACGCTAACACATTTTAAATCAAAAACCGACATTCCAAGTTCGTTGTTAATAAAAATATATTGGTTGCTACAATTCCGAACTATTTCATTAACCATACAAGTTCTACATTAATCGTACACGGTTTACTATTTACGAAAGTCATAAATAACTTGAATATGACAATTAGCGCAGTTACATATGTGCCAAGAAATATCCTATTGACATGCTTCCCTATCAGCACGGTTGGCAATTGATTGACGCAACGCTATCTTAACGTTTACTATTTATTTATTTATGTAAATATGCATTATTTGCATTCACTTTCGCTTTCAATGATTAATTGCACGCTAAGCATTCATACTTGTATATTGTAATTATAATATATAATTTTTACATTCCTTTTCTGCGGGTGGTGCTCTTCCTGCCTTTAAGTCATTCATAAATTTCACTCTTCTTCTTCTCGTTAGATAAAATACTCCTGTCTCTATAAATTTACGTTAGGTTAAAAATTACAAGTATGACTGAATGAATTAATGAATGATTGCACTTGATTTCTTTTTCTATTCGATTGTGGGAAAATTTATGGCCGACAATTCGTTAATCTTATCGGTTTAGTGCGGTTCGACTGAGTCAATTTATGCATCGAAGACCTACATGCAAGTACATAGACTAAAGTATAGAAAGTATGATTCTAAAATTATAAAAATTATTATTTTAGAGAAAAGGTATTTGATTTGAATTAAATCCATCGGAAAATCCATTTAGTAAAAATATAGTTTTGAGTATTGAAGTCCATTCGCTGTGGGCCACCATACTTTACTAGAGGAGCTTCGGAAAAAGGAAAGAGCCAGTAGAAGTCGACACTGGCAACAAGTGGCTGGGCTTTGACAGGTGAGGTTGTTTCTCAATGAGTACGATGCAAAACGGTTCAATAAACTTATTGTTCTTCTACAAATTAAGGCAGCTTGTGAGATTTTATTCAGATCACTGCAGGCTGCGGTGTTATCTGCACAAATTAGAATACTGTTCCACAGATCAGTGTCGCTTTTGCGACCAAAAAGCAGAGAAATCAGAGCACATACTCCTGGCTTTCCCAGCAATTGCAAGAAGAAGGAGTTAGCTTATCGGGCAGTTGAATTCGTTGAGAGAACACATTGCAACAATTAACTCAGGAGCCTTACTAAGCCTTGATTTGAATGAGTTTAATGAAGTGTTGTCAGGAGGAGGCATCATAGATCACAGGTGGCTGTACAATCATCAATATTTAAGCTATATCTCTATTGTGATATAAATGATCGACGAGACGACGAAAGGTGAGGAGATGAGTCAAATTAGCCAATTCCGTCCGCTTACTAGTCGATCATTTTTTCGCTCTGAAATTTCGCTAACGTTATTTTCTCCCTAAGAAGCTGCTCTTTAGCTGGAACCAGACCTGATATCGGACCATACAGATATAACTACCATACATACATGGAAGTTTTTTTATTTGCGAACAGGGTTCCGATTTTTTAATTTAAATATTTTGGATTAAAAATTAATCTCTTATTTATTCAAATGTTAATTTAATTATTTTTTTAATACATTATTTGTAATCCTGTTTGTGAAGGGTATTCTAGTTTCGGTGCAACCGAAGTAAACGTTTTTCTTGTTTATTTATTAAAGTTGGCATATTTCTCATGAAAGAAGAGAATAATTTATCCGATCGTTCACCTCAGTAAAATTTAGTAAATTTTAATTCCGTTTTCACAAGATTCGACTTCATTACAAGAATAATTCGTTAATGCTGAATACAAATATACAAAAAAAAATTGAGTCTTTTGTCCGTATTTTAAAAACAATTTTTTACAAATAATATACGAGCCAGACAAAGCAATTATTAATGATTACTTTATCACAAGCAAGCGCACGAATTGCATTTTTGTAAGAGAAAAAATATAATTTTGTTTACCACACATGTTAAAATGCATAATTAGACAGTCATAAAATAAATTTGATTTTTTAAAGTCTTAAATACGCAAATGTGAGTGGACAGGAGCAGGCTAAAACAGGGAATTTGCTATCATATAAATTGGGCGAAAGAAACCGTAAAAGACGATTGGCCACCAAGCCGGCGCAGTTCCATTGGGATAAAATTCGCAAATTGCCAGAAAAATGGGACGATGTTAAAGCTTCACATGAGTTCATAACATATTTTGTTGCGAATGAGAATTTTCATCTATTTACCGTACAAAAAGAACCCGATAAATGTAGTGGTAACCAATTAACTGAGATTCCGATAAATTTTGATCGAATGGAAATGCAGAGTCGAACCGCAAAAGAAAATTGAAACAAACACGACTACTGCGTTTCTAAATATTATAAATATATCTATCTATAGTTTAATATAAGCATGGTTTTCTTTGGATACCCACTTAAAAAATTACATGCCGTACAAAACGGAACCACCCTAATATTACATATATGCACGAACCCAATCAAATTTACAGCTATATCGAATCGATTAGTTGCAAATAATTATTCTTACTTTTTGTTACAATATAATTTGTAACCAGCTATGATTTATAACACACATATTTTGTTTTAATTGTTTATCAACAAAGAAAACAAACTACGGTTTAATTGGTTTATTACTTGATTTATAGTCAGTGATCCGCTGCTTCATCATATTGCCTTACACATCCATGTATGTATGTATGTATGTATATACAAATCTGTATGCATATTTCTATAATTTCGTGATTAACTTTGCACTAGTCAGAACAGCATCAGTCGTATGCTAATTTGTTTGAAAGCTGGCTACTTCAGCGAAACAAAATTTTTTTCTAGACAATTAGATAAATTTGAATTAGACAATTAGTAGCCGTTTCCAACTACTTACTATTAAAAACGGTTTATTTCTGACAGTTTTCATCCTATAGAATCCGATTTTTGCATGCAAGAGACATTCGCTTAACTAGTTGATTCAGTATAGTTAAGGTTTTGACTAGTTAGTTTCTCAATAAGGTTTCAATATGTAGAGCTCACAATATCTCACGTAGAACAGAAGGCAGTTAACAGTTAGATTTAGTAGTTAAATGAAATAAAATAGTCGCAATAAATTTTTACTGTTTCCAATGAAGCAAACGTACGCGTTACTTCATAAAACTTTATAGTCAGTATAGATTATCAAAATCGTTAAAAAATAGTATGAATGTGATTGTTTGAAATGCTTTCACTAAACATGTTGGAAATATAAATGTTCTGAGTTTGAATAATTAGTATCTCGTGGGGAATTTGGTTGTTGTGTAATTCATTAGTAATGAACAAATATTGAAATTCCACTTAAGTATTTTATTCGAATTTTAATGGGTTTTAAGGTTACAAATGCTGTCAGTTACCAGCTATCAAAGTTGTGTGGGTAACGTTAGGTATTTCTTTCTTAGCTGCTCTACTGTAGCTAGACTAATTTTAAGGCCTTCTCATTCCTTCAAGAAAGCTTTGGGGTAATTAAATAAATCAACCTGGCAAATATTAAGAAAATCAAACCCGGAGAAATACTTTCAGTTATTGGCAAAACGTCATTTTAAAGAAATGTTGTGAAATAATTCAAAATTTATTATCCGACGAAATCGTGAATGAATTACAATGAAATTAGATATTTTATTAAGTTATATTATATATATAGTCATAGATCAAAAAGTCTGCCGTAGTCTGTATGGTACGCATTTCCGCGATTTTGAGGGTTTGAATAGTTTTCGTCCGATTTTTTAGTCATAAGGTGGCACACCTCAAAGGCACTATTCGTGTAAAGTGTTTTCCGGATATATTGACTTATTCTTCATTTGTATACTGGAAAGTGAAAGAATCAGATGGAATTCAAAACTGTGTTATATGGGAAGTAAGCGTGGTTTTTATCCGATTTCAAACTGTAACATGAGAAAATTAAAATAATCGTATGCACTAAATTTGGTTGACATTGGTGTAGTAGGTCCGTAGAATGTGAATTCACCTAAAGGTGGGCGGTGCCACGCCCGTTGTCCAACTTTTACACCTCGCTCCTTCTATAAAGCCTTCTCGTACCATCCCGAATGTAAAATTTCATGTTTCTGACGCTTTGAGTTATTGATTTATCGACATTTAGTAGCTTTTCACAAAACCGTTATATGGAAAGTGGGCTCTCGCAAGAGCTGTCGAAATGATTTGATAGTTGGGCAAACAAAACTATTATACTCTGTAGCAACATGTTGCAAGAGTATAAAGATTTATTGTTTTAGATTTACACATAAAACTTATCATCTTTTAATTGAGTTAACATTACTATCAACCTATTAGAGATCCCCAATCTCTCTAAATTATCACCAGATTATTGATATTTTAGAAATGAAAAGAAACAATTAATTAAAAATCGATTTGCTACAAATTAGTTAAAGTAAACAAATCAATTTTGTTAATTTGATTGTCTAATAAGGAGTTTATTTGCCCAAACAAACAAATTATAATTAATTAGTATTGTCGTACAACAACAATTAGTGTCCAACCACTTGAAGATAAATCTCACATGACACACACATATGGTGCGAATACTTATTGATGCTACTGTGATAAGCTGAAACAGTCTCACTGGTTTTTATTGACCGCAATCAATTACTGTCAAAATTTTCACAGTAAATCAAAGTTTTCCGTAAATTGAACAAAATTAATATAATATATGGTTTGTATTAACGTCAGAAGTTCGTATCTCTAAAAGTAGTGCAGAACTGCAAAAAAAAAAATAAATAAAAAAACCGCAAAATAACTTACTAAAATTATAAATCATCTGTTAATATCGTTGACAGCTATGTAAATATATTTGTATTTTTGTATGCTTATAGTCTGTTTGTTTATACAGAATATTTACTTTTATAATTTATATAAATTTTGCCTACTTTGATTTCAATTATTAACCAATATCAACGCTAATTGGAAACATAAATTTTATACTTTATTTAAAGTGCTAAATGTTTGGTGATAAGATTCGCTCAAGTGCTTGCATTTGTTGTTGATATGCTACATTTTGATAATCATGAATGAAAGTCTACAATTGCACTCGAGAGACCTAACCAATATTCAAAAAAATTACTAATTAGAAATTAAAAAAAAAATGTGTAAACTTAAAAAAAACGAAAATTAAAAAAAGTAGTAGCAGTATATATGCTATAACTCTCATTGTACCTCAACCTCTCTATAAATGTATACATATATACCATATTCTAATAGCAATGCCCAAAAAATATTTTGAGCAGTACTTAAAACCAAGAACAATATCTTTGAAGGTAAGCAGTGTAAGGATTAATAATCTTAAAATTTTATATCAAACCAGAAAAAAATAAATCAATCGATAAGAATTTGAAGTGGTTTCGGAAAGCGACATAATCAAGTACACGCCTGTGAAATATTATCACAAATTGATCGATTCATAAATAATCGAAGTGAATTATGATAACTTGTGACATATTTAACCAAATGTTAAAACTGAAACTAAGTAACGTTATCGAAATAATTTTGTTACCAAATTAAGTTAATTGTGGGTTTGCAAACGCTATGATACACAAGTAAAATTGTTAACGATTCATAAAAGGTCAACTTAAGAAACAACTATCTTCATTGATTTATGCATTCTACAATCCTTGTCGGAATATTATTATGAGAGACAGTATAACACCAGAGTTGTGCTAGGAAGAAACCGTGTTCAAGAGTAGTATATATATAATTTTTTTTTAGCGCCAATTTTATATTTTAAGCATACGTTTTATGTAATTAATGTAGTTAACTAAGAGTCACACCAAAACTGGAACTTCAAACTACAATGAAAAACTCGAAGCTTTAAAAATATTTTAATTATTTCGAGTATATGTCAATTTAACGATCGATAAATGATCAAGAAACATTCTCACACAAAACTTTCCACTCAACAAAAGATGTATATATATAACACAAAAAACCAAAACCACATCAGAAAAAAAAAATAAATAAACGAAACAGAAAAATTCCATAACTCAAGCAACATATTTTTAATTTTTGTTTTAAGAAATTCACTAATAAATGGCCCTCATTTTGATACGTGGATGTATGTATATCCATTGACAGCTTCTTTGAGAGTCCGAAAAATTCTTGTCTAGCAAAAGTAAATAAAAATTGACACATATTGTGGTACATACTCTTAAACAGTATTTTTCCGACTATTTTATTTGTTGTTGTGATAAGATTATTTATATTCTTATGTTTGCGAAATTTATGATAAAATCTTAAATAATAAAATCAATGTCAAGATATTTTGAATTTCAGAACTAAAAAAATTAAGTATACTCGTACTTTTGTATATAATAAGAAATGTGTGTGTATGTGTTATCATAGACTCCAAGGCTATTACTTTTAAAAACCGGGTCAGTATTTTTGAAATATAAAATTTATTTGTTTTAATTAATTAATTTTTTTTTTAAGATCCAACTTTGAAAGCTTGTAGCAACTGTCATATAAGTTTGAATGAAAATTGTTATAAACCATTGCAATAAGAGGAACATTCAGATGCTGTCCATATTTTTACTTTTTTGGTAACTTACATACGATAATTAATAATAAATGTGTCAAGAAGCTCAATTTCGAAATTCTAAAGCAAATATTTCGAATTTGGAGGCTAACTTCGAAAAACGGAAAAATAACTTTTTTCCATATGAGTCAATCTCTAAAAAAAATTGTTTTGGTCGACAAGCTAGCCAAGTGTTAAACGGTATCATGGATGCCTTAATTTCGAAATTTCAATCGGTTTTCCAGATATATATAGTGTATCTACTATGAATTGTGATTCAGGTGAAGCTAAAAGGGTTATTTTGGAAGAATGTAAAAGAGAAATGTGTATATGAACCAAAAAGTATTCAAGAAATTTTTAATAAAGCATGTTTTGGATTAGATTTACCACTGTTCAAAAAAGATAAATGAAAATATTACAAAATGTGTTTTAAAAAATAGGCATATAATACACAGTCAGAAAAGCTTTCGTTAAGAATACTACCTTCCCTTTCACTTTCGAATCACCAAATTTTTAAATACATTATAAAATGTATACCAAAATTGTAAAGATTCGAATAAACTTCCAGAAAATGTTGAAGAACTCCTTATTAGAGACATACTTTTCAAGAAAAACTCCTTCGAGTAGAACTTAACTATACTATAGTCTTTAGGTAGACCTGGAAAATTATTCATTTATGTTCCAAAAACCAAAAAAAACATTATTTAATATTTTTTTAGATAAAAATATTTTATTTGCCAAATTTATAAATAATATAAGAAACCTTCTCCAAAAAAGTTTGGCATTAAAAAAATTTTCATAAAGTAAAAATAAATAATTTTTGCCTGTAAACGAGCTTTTCGGCTCCAAATTCTTTTATTGACCACCTAAAATTTTCTCCAAACTATAAAAACTCGAAAAAATAATTTTCATATTTTACATCCTTTGGGTCCAAATGGGAACATTGACGTCAAATGGTGCCGTCCATTTATATAGAGACACTTTACGAATGGTTTTTACACTCTCTTTATTGGTTTATTCATATTGAAATTTCGCCATAAAAAAATAAAATATTCACTTAATACATTTATTGTTGCATTTTACAGCACACAAAATCTGAAGTACTATAACTGCTAATTAAAGTAGCGATTCGGGTGCAACTTCAAGCACTGTTTAAAAACTCGTCTAAGGCAACCGAAAAAAATATATTTCCATTGAGTTTGCAAAAAAAAGATTTACTTCGCCTAAAATGCAACTTGCGCTTAAATCTAAAAGCAACCACAAAAAGTGCGCAACCAGCAATATTATTATCATTCACCGTTTACCTGCAGCTTCGCACAGCTGCTGTGTTTAATTAATTGAGCAAATTATTCCACCAGATTCGACAATTAGCATACCAGACATATGCGCATACACACACAGACACAAGTTCTTGTTGTTGTAACAAGTTCTATAAACGCGTTAAATTTTGCATACAAATGCACCGAAAAATATGTATGTAAAAATAAACACTCGTCAAATAAGGAGTTCGGCTAGTAAATGTTTTTGTTGTATTTGTATTTTAATTGTGGTCTACAATATTATTTTTAATTGATTTTTCTACTTTTTAAATATCACCTTTTAATTAACTAATTAACTTATAATTCTTGTCACTTGGAATTTTTTTTTTTTTTCGACCAATTCTCGTTTCAATTCACAGCTGTGCGTTAATTTTTTTCACATTCTAAGTTGTTTGCGCCTCTAAGCACCAGCGGGAACTGAACCGCACCAGTGATGTGTGCGCTCATATATATACATACATACAACCGTACAAGCGTACATACAAGCGTTTGCATTTAGCCAAAAGCGTCGCATGCGTTCCGAAGTGACTCGAACGCGACTGCGCCGTGGCGACGCGATTGAAAAATAACTCAAAACAAACTCAATTCCAAATAATAATAATAAAAAGTAATAATAATTATTATAAAAAGTGTCTCAAAGTGCGCTGATAACTCGCTGATTACTGACTGCTAACTAATGAAAGGTGAGAAAGAAGGTATATAGAATGTACACATTGTATATGTGTATGGTAAGTATGTATGCTCTTGCGTGGGCGATGGCGGCGAGCCATTAAGCCAACCATCTCGAGAAGATGTGCAATCTCTTAGTAATACAATTGTGTATGCATATGTGTGTGTGTGTTTATTTACATTCCTTGCCTTTGACTTGTGCAAAGGGGTGTGTGTCTCAGTTGGTGTGTGTGTGAGTATGTTTGTTTGGTTTACATGTGCGAAAGCAGGCGATCGTGACCAATTTTATATATACATACATATATCTGCATGTTTGTAAATAAACGCACGCGTTGCACACGAGCCAAGAGAGTGGCGCAAACGGAATGTGAAACAAATAATTTAAACGGTGAGAAAATACAATTTAGATAAAACTAAAATTGTGCTTGGGAAATAAAATTTAAATCATAAATTATTAGATATTAGAATAAATTTCATATATATTTTTTTTATTGCCACATAAATTTTTTATATGAAATATGAAGCAAAAAAATTAAATAGTTATGTCGAACATTTTTTTGAAATGAAGTATGAAATATTTAATTATTACAGTTTTATATACAATTTGAAATAAATTTGTACATAAAAAAAAATTATTTCTTCTTGTTACATAAATTTTTGATGCATAAAATTTGTTTAAAAAAATATTTATTCAAAGTTTATATTTGAATATCGCTTTATGTCATTTTAAATAATAAATAAATAAAAATTAGCTCTCTTCGATTCACCAATACTCTGCTTGCTTCGTTTAAAATCTGTTTTCTGCTCAAAAGAAAAATTCGTGAAAGCAAAGTTATAAATTTTACGAATATGCAGATCATGCATACAACTACTCGTCTATAGTAGTGCCAAATAGAGGTTCAGTTTCGAACTTAAGTATTCATCATATAGGACGTCAACGTTTTTTGTGTACTTTAAGCGCGACTCTAGTCCTTGAGTAGCGAAGCTCCTAGATATATATGACGAGTACTCGATAAAACGGGACAGTGCCTACTTCCCTGCGTTTACTACATGTATCGTCGTTACTAATGCCCATACAGCTCGCATTTGATGTTAGTAAATTCTGACCTGTCATTAGGCCAACAACCGTTCTGTAGTCCTTTCGAGATTGTGTGTGTAAGAAGCATGCGTGTTTTTCTTCAGGGCTCTTGCACATAATCTGTGTGATCCTGCATGTCTTTAAGGCTTATTTAAATAATATCGCATTAACGGACATACCTATTGTGATAGCCTAAAAAATGTAGACAGTAAAATTTTTAAAGAAAAAAATTAAATATTTTTCGAGCCACATGCGAACTTTTTCGGCCCTAAAAAAATCCTCAACTCTTGCAGTGATAACGGGTTTCTCCCCCTAGAAAATATTATCTCTACGATGATCTATAATCGAAAAAAAATTAAATTTCTTCATTTTTTTGAATAGAATTTTACCCAACATTAGGAAGTTTTTGGCCTCCCAAATCTCTATTTTTGATTAGAATACCTAGATCATTGTATGGAGAACTACGAGTACATCTGTATGTATACTTACTATAATATGCAGAAAAAAATGTATAGCGATCGGTTCATTTGGCTCCGATTAATCATTCAAACGAATTTGAAAAAATGTAGTTTTGAAACTAAAATGGCTTGAAAATAAAACTGATTGTACGTAGCGGCTACACTTTAGAAACCTGTAACAGAAAAAATATTATAAATAAATATATTTTAAATATTCATTCAAAATTTTAGTGCGGTATTTTTGAAAGTACGGACTATTCAAATATGCAAAAAGAAGTAAAAAATTTATATTTTCGAAATTTCACACTAGGTGTGCCCTTTAAAGAGCTATAACCACATGCTAATCCATTGATATTATATTTAAACCAGTCTGACGCATTTTTACCAGTGGTTTTTCGATTTGCCACTCTCGAGGTTTTACGTTCAAAAAATTACTCAGTTTTACAATGTACTATACCTAAGAGAAATGTATATGATACAAATAATTATTGTAGCTTATTCTCTGTAGCTTTTTTTGACTTTTTGGAAAATCACAACTTCAAAATATGCCAATAAATTGCTCGAAAGAGGAAAGATTAAAAAGTCCAATGAAAACCCCAAATAGGCAGTGAGCCAAAACCATTTGGAATCTGAATTTTTTTTAGGATAACAAATTTATTTTCAAGTTTATTAAAAGTTTTTTTATTTCTTCGAACATTAAAGCGTCGAAGTGCTAAAACTGGGTATTACATCATTATGGTATATCATCTCAAGGTCAGACAAAAATCACTGACACTTACAGGAAGTGAAAGATAAAATTTAAATGCAAAATTAACTTCAAACTTTTTGAATTTTGAAAAGTCATTCTATCTACTTTGGTTTTTTAGATTCTCATTAATATGTAGTAACTCTTCAAGAATTGAAAAAAAAACTCGCTCCGTTCGAAAACCATCAGTAGTCCGCGTTTATGAAACCGAAAACATCCATCGCTCTTGCGTAATAGTCTGGTGTGTCATAGTGGAAAAAATCTTCGAAGCTCTGTATTTTTGTGAAAGCAGTATAAAACAACCACGACATTTATGATATTAAGTGTGTTCATTTGTCATTTAAACAGCAAGTGAAAGGAAATTTATTTCTAGTCGAAATATAAACACTCTAGCTGCCTTTAATACAATAGAAAAATGTGTGAAGTAATCTATTAAAAGACGTGTGAAAAATGAACCCCCACTAACTAAATAACAATACAAAATATTCGCGAATAGTAGACAAGCAATCAAATTATGTATCTGCATGTAGAGTATGTGATATCTTGAATAAGAACAAAAGTTGACGTGCAAAATATTAATAACTTTTCGAATACAAATTTTTGCTGTGTTTAGAGATTTGTTTTTATTGTTTTCAAGTTGTTTTTAAAATAATTAGTAATGTGTGAAATATTCTAAATACTCAATACCAATTATTCAGAAACAGTCATACATCTACATATGTATGTATGTATGTAAAAAATATTTTCACGCCGCAATGAATTTATTTTTGTTACTCATACGCACGCGCGTACGTAACTTTAAATTTGTACCTTTAATTCACAATTTCGCTTCTACGCGCTTTGCATAAGTGGTATTGCTTGTTCATGTTTAAAAATGAAAAACAACAAACATTATTGAATGAATCAAGAGCTTCATTAAGTTTCGTTGCGCGTACGTTGAGGCGAGTAATTAGTAGTAACTAGTATATGTTATACAAATTAAGGTGGTGCGGTTTGCCTGAGTGATAAAAAAGTTATGCATTTTATTTATTTGTTAATTAATTATTAGAGCATACCTCCTTAGAAATTTTGAAAAAATTATTTTTTTTTTTTGCTTTGCATATTTCGATAGTTTATACCTTCAAAAAAACCATTCTAAAATTTTAAATATTATTTCAATTACTTTTTTTTATTTATTTTATTTTATTTTGATTTAAAACGACCAATATTTTTTATTATTAGAAAAAAAATAAAAAACATTTTTATATAAAAAAATTACAACTTTTTATTAAAAGTTATATATTTGAACCATTCAAATAAAAACAAGATTTAAAACTTAAAAACTAAACTAATTAAAATTAAAGAAAAATTATGCTTTTTAAATTTATAATAAAAAAAATGTTAACCACCCTAGTATGCATTTATTTATGTAGTTATGCACGCTTATTGATACGTAACAGGAAGAGGAATTACATTTAATATTCCACTTCAATTCAAGTTTGAGGACAAAGTCTAAAAAATGAATTGGGATTGCTTTAGTTTGCCGCCTACATATGTACATAAGCGCAGGGGAATGGGGTGTACATGGCGTATGCGAAACACTTTATGCCACACATACATATAATGTATGTGCATATATGTATGTAAATATGTATAAATATAAATATTCATACACAACATACATATTTTCAGTGCGGAGCCTGTAGATGATGCCGCAGTGTTTTACCAAATTTAGCGCTCTCTGAGTAATGAATAGCCTCAAAATATCCACAAAGATAATGAAGTGTTCAATGCAGTTGGACATTGGTCAATAATTTTTTTGTAATTTTCTTATTTCTTACGAGACTTTATTATTAGTTAGCTACACGCATACATATCTACGTATCTTAAAAAATAATTGGAGTTTAAACCTCATCTGACTCGAACCAATCATTCTTTATTCAGTTTATACTCTTCCATAAGTGTTGTTGTATTACGTATTACGTAATGCGCGAAGTATTTGCTAACAATATTATTGTAATTTGTAGTTTTAAATCTAATTATGTAAAATTTCTCACCTTAATTTAAAACAATTTTATTTGCATTAAGCGTGGAAACTTTTACAATATTATTAATGTGAAATACACAATGATCAACAGCTGTTAATAAAATGGTCTGTGTTATTTCATTTTGAATGAAATAAAATTTTACATTTTTACTATCAGGGACAAAACGTTTCCACAGAACAAACAGCCAGACTGAATTTATGTCGGCGTTGCCGGCTGTTTCTGCGGCTTACACTTTAAGAAAAGATATTTATAAAATGTGACGCCGCTGAACTGAGCTTATACCACAATCAGCAGTGACACGTTTTATTTATATAATTTAAATTAACTAGAAGTAGAGATTACGCAGTGTCGTACCTTTTATTGGAGTGGATTTGACAGGAAAATTCAATTGCTCATGATGTCAACAACGATAAAAGAGAAGGCTTTCCTCACAATTATTACGAAAGC